GTGTGTAATGAATTGACCAAGGCTCCTATTTATAGGGGAGGGTGGCCTTGGCTTCCTTTTCGGATGGTGCCACGTGGATGGAAAGATTTTATAATCTTTCATTTTCCATCAGATGTTGTTTTCCATTCTTGACGGATTTGATTACGCACCTTCCTTTCTCGCCAAAATCTTTATATCATTATCTTTTTTGAAAGATATTAATTTATATACTTCCTTTATTGACAAGATCTTTATATCATTGCCCTTTTTTTTTTTTAAAGATATTAATTTATATACTTCCTTTATTGACAAGATTAATTTATTTTGCTGCCAAATTTCTTATGGCTCTATTTATGCACGTAATATTTGTACGATATCTTCCATTTTAAGCATATTTTTGCATTAATGGTTGATATTTATTGTACAAAAATTAACGTATGTGCATAATTAAATACCATATATGTATTTTATTGAAATTTTATTTTCTTCCAAAATACATAATATTTAATTAATTTTAGACATATATTTTTGGTGTCTACAATTAGTATACATGCCTATTACTATATTGGAATTAAGATTACGAACATGAATATGAAGGGAGATCTTGTTCTTTTATATAGCTAGTATAAATCGAATTTCCTCAAACGACCTTGTTCAATACACATGAAATTAGTTTAATTTTATGAACAAGATGGACCAATATAAATTGCATTACAACCATTATGATTATTTGTTCAAATTCATCTCGATTGTGATAAACGATTTATCTTTTATAAAAAGAATCGATAATATGATTTCCTGAATAATACCGCACTTCTTATTATTTACAATATTAAGTAAATTAATAGTCGAATTAATATAACAAATATAAATTATAAATACTTGATCAATATCATTTCTATTTAAAATGTCAAAATAAAGTTAAAACTACATCGATTTCGGAACAGATGATCCATTTGTTTTGGGCATTGTTATTTAGATAGTATACATTAGTAATTTATTAATAATAAATTATGATACTCCCTCCGTTCCTTTTGAATAATCCATTCGAAGTTTTATAATAGATTAAGAAATAATTTGGGAACGGAGAGAGTAATATATTATATAATGCAAATAAATAAAATATACTATATATATATTTATAATTAACTTAAACTAATTTTATAAAAATGAGAAATTTTAAGGGTATGTTTGTTTTGTATTTTGATTTGAAGAAAAAAAAAATTATGTGAGATATAGAAAATTGTGTATATAATATAAAAATAATAAGTGTGTGTTGTATATTAATTTTTTGAGGAAAAATGTATTGAATTTTTTTTGAAAAAGAAACAAACACTAAATGTAGATTAAAAATATTTATTTATTGAAGAGATAAAAATAAATAATTTTGAATAAATATACATGGATGATATTTTTTTGTAATTTTCTCCTCAACTTGTCACCATATCATGCATTTGATTGAATTACTCACTTGTTTTATGCATCATTTTGAGTGTATAAAAACACTTCTTATAACATAGTTCTATATTTAATTTTCTAAAATCTATCTATACAAGAACATATTTAGAAGTGTTTGTTCATTTGTATTTTAAAATAATTTATATTATTATATTATGTATGAAATATTATATTGGTAATATAAAAATTAATATTTTATATTAAAAAATTAATTTTTTATGAGTGAATAAGATATATTATATATATATATATATGTTATATTTTTAAATAATAGTTATACAGAACTGTATCACTTAAAAAATGTGAACAAATGTCTTTCTTAATGGGTTTCACATTTTAAAATAATAAAGATTAAAACAAAATTAATATAGATATTTCTTTAATGCATTTTTTTAATAATAAAAAAATTATATAATATTTTACATAAAAAATTAATATTTAATTTATAATGGTTAATGAATAATAAAAATAAATATTGCACTCGTCCCACCACAATTGATACTATTTTCATCTTTGTTTATTCCTTAACAATTGACACATTTCTATTTTTGGTTAAAATTCTTAAATTGAAATATATTTAACAAATATAAATTAATTTAATTAACTACATAACATACAACATCATAAATGACCTAGGACCACTCAAAACCCTTTTATTTCTACATCTCTCCTAAAAAAAAAAAAATATTTTTATCTATATTTAAAACTACACATATTTTATAAAATTGATTTATGTTAATTATAAATAAATAAAAATATTTTTTTATTTACTTGTAATATAGAAGATTTTATTCTCTACAAAATGATTCCATATTGCATATATTTTTTAATTGCTATATAATTTTTAAATATTTAAATATATATTTTAATTTTTTTAATCATATATATTAAATTTACTTTAAAACTATAAATATTATTAATTATATAAAAAAATAATATAATAATATCATAACTAATTATAATTAACTAATTAAAGATCTTCACCTTAAATACCGTACCGTACCGTGTCTCTAATCAAATAGTTTAACTTTGGTGGGACGGAGGGAGTATTTAACAAGTACAGGTTGCGACCACATTCAATGTACGTAACTACATAATTATTTATATTAATTGACAAGTAATTTTCAAGTATAATATTATACATATATATATATATATAGCCCTGTTTCTAAATTAAAGAGGAAAAATGAAAAAAATCCAAACAGGGCATAATTCTATATAAAAAAATAGAAAATTGTATTTTGAGTTGGGATTTAAATAGTAAAAATTTTGAATTTGAATAGTTGTATGATATGATATAAATAGATATTGATGTGATATTTTGAATGTAAAATTGATTTTTAGTATAATATAAAAAATAAAAAATATGTATTTAATTTGATGTTTTTTTGAGAAAAAATTGAATGAATAGTGAATTTAAAATCCAATCCCCAAACTTTCTCTCCAACACACAAACATGGCAGCATCAAATTTAGAAAACATCACATGTGCTTATTTATACAATTTTAATACTACATACTAACTAACTACAAACAAAAGTAATATAATACTCCTATATCCGTCAAATTTATTTATTTATTTATTTTTTACCGTTAAATTACCTCGTTACTATATTTGAAAAAATAAAAAAGTTAATATTAATTATTATTGTTCATTCAATACTTATTTATAATAAATATCAGTAACTTTATTACATTTTCTCTCTATTCTCTTTAATTTTTAATTAAACTTTTAAAAAACACTCCAATTACCTTTTTACTTATATATTTTTTAATTAATTTTTTTTTAATTCACGTGTGGAGCCCAAATGGACTAAATTTCCCGGACGATGATGTACAAATTATTACTAAGAGTATCTGTTATTGTCATTACCCTATTATCTCTTTTTTCTTTCTCATCTAAATTATATTTATTTTAACATTCAAATTATTTCATTTATCAGCCGTTATAATAAATTACTCTAACATATTACATTTACTATTTTATAAATCCACAATAATTTATTTATTTCTATATATTTTTATTATATAATAATATATATAAATAATTTATTTCAAATACTCCCTCCGTCCCGCGAAAAATGAGCCATTTTGTTAAGGACGCGGTATTTTATATAGTATAGGTTATTAAGTTATTAGTAATAAGTTATGATAATATTTTATTATTTTTTATATGTTAGTGTTGTTGGTATTTTAAATATTTTTAAAATTATATCTCAATAAAATATATGCAATATGAATATCAGTTTGTAGGCAATAAAATTTTATATAATACAAATGAATAAAAAAATTATTTATTTATTTATCATTATCATAAATTAATTTCATAAAAAAATGAGAGTTTTAAAAGTAGATAAAAATATTTGTTAATTGAGAAGAGAGATATAAATGAAAGAGTTTTGAGTGGGGCATACGTGTAAGATGTTAGAAGTTTAATTAAATTGATTTATATTTGTTAAGTATGTTTAAAATTGATAAACTTACTAAAAATATAAATAAGTCATCTTTTGTGGAACCTACCAAAAAGGAAATGGAGTCATCTATGGTGGGACGGAGGAAGTACATATTTCTATATATTTTTATTATCTAATAATATTTTTATATAATAGTATTATACTTCCTCCGTCCCAATACAATAGTCTTGTTTACTATTTTTGTCCGTTATCACTGTAAAACTATCTTTACTTTTTCATTATTATTACACAATTGCCACTAATTTTTACCCTAATATACTCACAAGAGCAAAAAAGTCTTTTACCCGTACTTTTTACCCACTACTAATATAATATCAATATTTCTTAAATTTCGTCTCGAACACAACTCAAACTATAGTTTTGAGACGGAAGAAGTATTTTAAGTTTTAAAATATTAATCTATATAAACTTTAATAATTAAAATTATTCGAAATAAATCAACATATATATTAATTAAAAATAATATAAAAAGAATTGTAATATAATATAAAGGTACAAAATAAATATATTGACAATATAATTTAAGAATTATTATTTTTATTGTCAAATCGTATTAAACAGTTTAATTTAAACACTTATTGAAAAGATAAGTATTTTCACTAGTAATTTTGTTTTAATTGAATATAAAAATATAAAGAATTAATTAATAAAATTTAAATATATTTATATATAATTTATGTTAAATTTAATTTTTAAAATTTTAAAATTTTAAAATAATTTGGATAATTTTTAATTTATTTTTATTATTATGATGAAGTCTTGACAAAAATAATAAATTTTGATAACTGTGTAACGAAAGAGGTAACTTATCAATTCCTTGGCAATACATTTTCTGTTAATGTACGGTCGATATTCATCCAGCACGATCCGACGGTTAGCGGAACAGTTGAACTGTGGGGCCCATCACGTTTCCCGTCGTGCCACATCGGCCGGAGTACATCGGCCACGTTCTTCTTCATAGCACCTGCTTTACCATATTTGTCCTTGCTCAGTACGTGGAGTCCAGGGGTAGTTTGGTCATTCTAAGCGCCATGAAATTTACCTACCTTTTTGGGCCATTGTACAAAACATTCACCAGGAAGGACAAAGCACCGCCAATCGATGCCCACCCCACCCTCCATGGCGTTGTCGAAGCACACACGACACTGCCCTTTTCTGGAAAGTTGAAAGCGGAATACGAATTCCACACCGTTTGTTGCTGGCTGCACTCTACTGCCATTGCAGCAAAATACTCACACGCCTTTGGTCCGCGCGCAGCTTCAAGCGATATACAAAGTTAGTGTTCCTGAATCAATTTTTTTCGCATTCTGAACTTTTCAATTTGTCTTTGATGTATCTCTTGCTGCTTATCATGAGTTTTGAATTGCTTCCGCTACTGTTGGGTGCTTATTATGCTGTTGTGAAAGCATTGTCACAAACATTGGGTATAAATGTATAATCTGCATAATTTTGAGTTGCATTGCGGAATTCTTCTGTGCCTCTTATTTCTTCTACTGTTCTTCCCCATGATTTGCCTTTTGGATTTTATAGGTAGTCTTTGTGTTCTGGAATGGAGTGTGTTGATGATGTGCCTGTGGAAGATGAAAAAGCGGTTGTACTTGAGAGCACTAATGGAGAAAGTTCCACGAATAAGGAGAACATCACTAACTGTCAGAAGCAATTTCCTGAGGCCTGCGAACTTATGATTTCACACAAACAGAGACACGGTGCAGAAGCCAAATTGTCCACACCAGAGTTGAAGAACCACATACCATCCAGACAGGTCAGAAGTTCTAATAAAATTGGATCAAAGAACAGTAAAATCAATAACCAGTCTGATTCAAAAGGAACAGGTGTGTTTGGCAGCAGCAAAAGGGAAAACCGCCAATCTGTTGTAATGAAAAGAAGCATTGATGTGCATTCGAACAAGAAAAATGAAAGACAGCCTCAGAAAAATGCTGTGAAGGCTGAGTCCACTATTTCAGATGCCAATTCGGATTCTAACCGTGTGATCAGTGCAGGGAATCCAAAGAGCGGACATGGTCCTAAACTAGGCCTTCCCCATGGATCTATGACCAAACCTACTACCGATCTGTATGCAAATTACCTTTAACTTTGGGAAATCAAATTCATTGTGCATCGATCTATATGGATTTTCTTTCTGTTCTGTCTGTCAGGTTGGTTGAGAAAAATTCTGACATTAGCCCCAATCAGTTGCTTGTGAAGGAGGAAGAGGATGCTCGATCTGCTACCCCCTCGTCGTATGTCGTATGTTCAAAATCTTCGATTTCCTTATCTGCTTTCGACTGAGCATGAAATGTGTTCTTCGAACAGGATTCTTACTCCCAAATCAAGGCACAGGATTAATGTGACAACATTCTCCTTCAAGCTGGACGAGCGAGCTGAAAAACGAAAAGAGGTTGCACTGAAAATAATATGTTTGGTATTTATTTATTAGCTCTCAAGTTTCTTCATGACAAAAAGTTTGATCAAATAGTTTTGCTTATTATCAGTTTTTTTCGAAGATAGAAGAGAAAATCCACGCCAAAGAAATTGAAAAGAGTAATTTGCAAGCTAGATCGAAGGTGATGAACAAGTTGAATAGTGCAATGCAATGCAATGTGTGGTGTATCTGATTTCTTGTATTTACATTCAATATAATAGGAGCACCAAGACGCAGAAATTAAGCAGCTGAGGAAGACCTTGACATTTAAAGCCACACCTATGCCGAGTTTCTACAAAGAACCGCCTCCAAAAGTTGAGCTGAAGAAGGTAAAAAGTATTTGATTGAGATATCATGAATCAAGAATTAATTTATTTGTCCATTGGTTCTCATCAAAACTTAGTTTTGTGATCTGATTCCATTCCATTGAATCCAATCCAACTATCGGGATTACCGAACAAATTATGATATGAATATGTTCATATTGGTACAGATACCGACCACACGTCCAAAATCTCCAAAGCTTGGACGTCACAAAGGCAGAGGCAGTGCTGCTGCTGCATCAAAGAAACAATCCAGGGCCAAGACACGAGATCGGGATTCCTTCAGCTCAAGAGAGGAAGAAATCCATTATCATCCACCGCGATGTATTCCAACTGTCGAGGATCATCCCGAAGAAGAAGAAGAAGAAGAATTGCAGTGAGTGTTTGTACAATAGGATACCAGCAAAATAAGCATGGTATGAATGATGCATTAATTGTCTGTGTTGTGTTAGTCACTCTGCATGTCTGTCTGTTGTTTTACTTATCTATATATATATATATATTTACGGAACTACCATCTAAATCCCAATAAATTTAAATAAGTAATAATGATATAATTATATATGAATTTAGATAGTTTTTTTGGGATAAATTGTATATAAATACATAAAAATTAATATTTTTAATACTAAAATAATTATAAAAAATTTGGTTTTCGAGCTAATTGACCCCCAAACGCTTGTAGTTTTGTGTATATATATATATATATATATAAGCCCAAATGGAATGGAATGGAATATACTCACTTTTTTTATCCAGTTTTCATTTCCACGGCACCCTGATATATACCAACCTATTCTAAATTGGAACGTTAAATTTATTTCATTTCATTTTGTTTTGGCAAAAAATACTAATATACAAAAGGGTATTTTTGTAAGTTCTTCTCTTGTGATTTACTTTTTCTTTTTTTTTTTTATAATTACAGATATATACTGTATTTTTTTTATAATATTTATAAAAATTATCTCATCAAAAAAAGATATTGAAAAAAATTGTTAAGTGAATCACAATTAGAGTGTGGATGAGCCCAAACAAAAATAGATAATGGACCCTTATTTAATACTCCCTTCCTCCACGAAATTAGTAGTAATAATCAATAACTAATATTTTTAATTAAAAAAATTTAACTATATTTTATTAACTTACTAATATTTTTAATTTTATTATTTATTAATTGTAAATTTAGAAGTTGGACTAAAATTTTGAATAATAAAAATAATAAATATTTAATATTATATAAATAAATATTTATTTAATTTTAAAATTAAATTTTAATGTAATATATAATAAAAATTTGATGTTTGATTTGGAAATTTATGGCTGAAAAATTAATTAAAAATGAGATTTTATATTTATTTTTTTTCCTTTGTTCGGAAAAAATAAAAATAAAACTAATTTATAAAGAAAAATTATAAATTTATTTTTAATTTCGGTATTTGACGTAAAATATTATATTCTAATATCGTGTATACAATTCAGTTAGAGATGGTTTGAGATACTATATCGAAATGTATTGTATACCGTACCAAAAATTTTAATTTATTAAAAAAAGATATCGATATTGTATCAAATAATCAGTATATACAAATATACCAATTTTTTTAATTATCTATATACACTGAAAATATCTTATTGTATACGTTATCATACAAAAAAAGTCATATTGTATTGAAATTTTGAAATTTTGAAATTTTTTCGGTATTTTTTTTTTACGAGTATGCATGTTATTTCTGTAATTCAGTATTTTTTATTCGCAAATTTGGTATACCAAAATATTTGTACAGTACGGTAAAATATCATACCAAAAATTTCGTACCGTATATGGTATTAAATTTGGTATGTCATAAGGAACTATCTCTAACAACAACCAAATTCGAAAAATTTTATTTATTATTTATATAATTTTTTTATTATATTTTTTATTGTATAAATTACATTCAAGTTATTAAAATTATATATATATATTTATATATATATATATATGAGTTATTAATGGGTATTAAGTGTGTGAGCAAATAAAAGTATATTGAGAGAGAGGGATTAGATACAGGTGCTACATTTGATTCATTTATATCAATCATACATGCACATATATATAGGTAAAGTATGGCGGTGTAAAGTATGGGGGTGTAATGCATCCACTCGAGGTAGTGTCTACGTCGACATCACATCGGCACTATGTCTATATTACTCCCCCTTGAATGCTTTATACAAAGAATGTGCTTCGTTAAAACCTTACTATGGAAAAATCCTGTGGGAAAAAAAATCATAGTGAAGGAAAAAGAGTACATCATTCTTGTATTGATTTGCTCCCCCTGATTTGGATTTTACTTGAGATCTTTAAGCCGACGCATTCCAATTCCTTTCACTAATTTGTTGAATGTTGCTGTCGGTAGAGCCTTGGTTAATAAATCTGCAAAATTGTCAGATGATCGGATTTGTTGCACATCGATTTCACCATTCTTCTGCAAGTCGTGAGTAAAGAAAAACTTTGGGGAAATGTGTTTTGTTCTTTCTCCTTTAATGTATCCGCCCTTTAACTGAGCAATGCAGGCTGCATTGTCTTAATATATAGTCGTTGGGGGATTTTTGTTTTCCGATATTAACCCACAATTCCTTTTAATATGATGGGTCATTGACCTTAGCCAAACAAATTCTCGACTCGCTTCATGAATAGCCAATACTTCAGCATGATTTGATGATGTGGCGGTTATTGTCTGTTTTGTGGATCTCCATGAGATCACAGTATCACCACATGTAAATATATAGCCGGTTTGTGATTTTTCTTTGTGTGGATCAGACAAATACCCAGCATCGGCATAGCCTAATAACTCATGTCGAGAATCATTCGGGTAAAATAGGCCAAGATCACTTGTCCCTTGAAGATAGCGCAAAATATGCTTAACCCCATTCCAATGACGTTTGGTAGGAGATGAACTGAATCTGGCCAATAAATTTACTGCAAATGCAATATCTGGCCTAGTGCTATTTGCTAGGTACATAAGTGCACCTATTGCACTGAGATATGGTACTTCTGGACCAAGTATCTCTTCATCATCTTCTTTTGGTCTAAATGGATCCTTGTTAGGATCAAGTGACCTGACGATCATTGGGGTACTTAACGAATGTGCTTTATCCATATAAAATCGTTTCAATACCTTCTAGGTATAGGCGGTTTGGTGGATGAATATTCCATTATCCACATATTCAATTTGCAGACCAAGACAAAACTTTGTTTTTCCAAAGTCTTTAATCTCAAATTCCTTTTTCAGATATTCCACGGCTGATTGGAGCTCTTCAGGAGCCCAATAATATTGAGATCATCAACATACACTGCAATGATCACGAACTGTGACCCATTTTTCTTTATAAAAACACATGGACATATTGGGTCGTTCGCGTAACTTTCTTTGGTTAAACACTCAGTGAGACGGTTATACCACATACGTCCAGATTGTTTGAGTCCATACAGAGACTTTTGTACTTTAATAGAGTAACATTCTCTGGGATTTAATTTGCATGCTTCAGGCATGTCATATCCTTCAGGGATTTTCATATAAATATCATTCTCCAGTGAGCCGTACAGATAAGCAGTAACTACGTCCATAAGACGCATATCAAGTTTTTCGTGCGCGGCTAGGCTTACTAGGTATCTAAATGTGATACCATCCATAACTGGAGAATATGTTTCATCATAATCAACCCCAGGTCTTTGTGAGAATCCTTGGGCTACAAGTCTCGCTTTGTATCGGACAATTTTATTGTCCTCATTTCTCTTTCTCACAAATATCCATTTGCACCCAGCTGGCTTAACATCTTCCGGTGTTGGAATTATAGGTCCAAAGACATTTCTTTTGGCCAGTGAGTCTAATTCAGACTGGATTGCATCTTTCCATTTTGGCCAATCGTTTCTTTTCCGACATTCATCAACTGATGTTGGCTCGGGATCCTCTTCATTTTCCATTATATTGAGTGCCACATTATATGAAAATGCATTATCAATTATTGTTTCATTTCGGTTCCAACTCTTATTTGTAATAGTAAAGTTAATTGAATTTTCAATAATTTTATTTTCTTCTGAGGTAGGCTCTTCAGGAGCACTATCTTCAAGTATTTTTTCTATATCACTACAAATTGTTTGAAGGACTGAATCATTGTTCAATATCCTTTTCTTTCGGGGATTTTTATCATTGGAACCTACAGGTCTGTCACGTTTTAGGTGCACAGATGATTCATTGGCACTTTTCATTTGTCCTTCTGGGACATTTAGTTTTGCTGGTGCATTTGCTGCAGCAATATACGACCTGGTGACTCTGCTGGAGTCATTAAATGCATCCGGTAATTGATTTGCAATTTGTTGCAAGTGTATAATTCTTTGTACTTCTAATTCACACTGCCGTGAACGAGGATCGAGGAAATTCATAGGTATTTTCCAAGAAATTTTCTTTTTCAGTTGATTTTGCTCTCCCCCTAATGTCGGGAAATTTGTTTCGTCAAAATGACAGTCTGCAAATCGCAGTAAACAGATCACCCGTCATTGGTTCGAGGTATTTAATTATCGACGGTGATATACCCGACATAAATTCCCAAACGGCGTTGGGGGCCCATTTTTGTACGCTGAGGTGGTGCAATTGGCACGTAAACTGCGCATCCAAAAATCCTCAGATGAGATATATTGGGCTCTTTTCCAAACACTAATTGTGTTGGGGAGTATTTCTGATAGCTTGTCGGTCTTATTCGCACAAGTTCTGTTGCATGTAATATTGCATGTCCCCAGGCAGAAATGGGGAGTTTGGATTTCATCAGTAATGGTCTGGAAATTAATTGTAATCTCTTGATAAAGGATTCTGCCAGACCATTTTGGGTGTGAACATAAGGAACGGGATGTTCCACAGTTATCCCCAAAGTCATGCAGTAATCGTCGAATGCTTGTGACGAATATTCACTAGCATTGTCGAGACGAATTTTCTTTATTGGATAATCAGGAAATTGTGCTCGCAGTTTAATTATTTGTGCAAGCAACCTTGCAAACGCAATATTGCGCATAGATAACAAGCATACGTATGACCATCTTGTTGATGCATCAATGAGCACCATAAAGTATTTAAATGGCCCACATGGTGGATCTACAGGTCCACATATATCACCCTGAATTCTTTCCAGAAATGATGGGGATTCAATCCCAACTTTGGTTGGTGACGGCCTGATTATCAATTTGCCTTGTGAGCATGCAACACATGCGAATTTATTTGAATTCAAGATCTTTCGATCTTTCAATGAATGGCCAATGGAGTTTTCGATTATTCGCCTCATTATGGTATTTCCAGGATGCCCGAGCCGATCGTGCCAAATCAAAAATTCATTTGATTGCGTAGACTTCAGGTCTACTGCATATGTTTCAACTGTACTTATTCTGGCATAATACAAACCAGAGGACAATGAGGGCAGTTTCGCAACTGCACATTTATTTCCATTGATAATTTTTGTAATCACCAAATATTCATTATTTGCCTCGTCCATTGTTTCAATATGATATCCGTTTCTACGAATATCAGTGAAACTTAGCAAATTTCTTCGAGCTTTACTCGAGAACAGTGCATTTTGTATTTCGAGCCTGATTCTTTCGGGGAAACAAAGAAGGGCTCTTTCAGAGCCTTCAATTGTTGCACTGCCACTTATTGTGCTGACTTTTGATTTTCCCAACTTCAGGTGGGAGAAATACTTTTTGTATTTCAATATCGTGTGCGTGGTCGCACTATCGATTAGGTAAATATTGTCCTCTTTATAATGTGTATTTTGACACGTGGCATTCATATTCTTTTCAGAATAAAACAAACAACAAGACAATACATTAATATAGCCGATGGAAAATGATACAAAAAGAGCGGTATTACAAAAACTATAGAGGGTACAAAAAGTAATAAAGCAGTAAAATACATAGTCACTTGGCACCTTCAGGGTGCTCAAGGAAGTCTGCTGTATCAAGATGCATAAGGTCGCTGTTTAGGACATCATCATATGTGTCATCGTTGTTCTGTTTAGCGAGGTTTACATCAGCAGATGTGTTCTTCAAGACATCATCATATGCGTCATCATTATTCTGCTCAGAGAGATTTATATCAGCAGACGTATTTTTCCCTTTTAGCGAAGCTTGGTACAAATCAGCCAAACGCTTAGGCGTTCTGCAGACTCGCGACTAGTGTCCTTTTGTGCGCACCTATGACACTTATCTTCATAATTTTTTTTATGCTCATCATTCTGCCACTTCAGGGGCTTATATGGTCTTTTGCCATTATTTCGACGAGGCTGGGGACGGTCGCGTCTTTGGCCTCTGTCATTTCTCCGGCCGTTGTTGTTTCTGCGGCCTGGATTAGCAAACTCTACCGTATTCGCTTCAGGGAATGGGCTGGAACCTGTTGGCCTGGATGCATGAATTTTCAATAACAGTTCACTATTTTGCTCTGCCAACAGAAGACAGGTAATGAGATCAGAATATGTTCTGAAGCCTCTGTCTCGATATTGCTGCTGTAAAATCACATTTGAGGCATGGAATGTGGAGAATGTTTTCTCCATCATGTCACCATCAGTAATATTCTCGCCGCATAAGTTCAACTGTGAAGTGATCCTGAATATGGCGGAATTATATTCGGTGACCGATTTGAAGTCTTGCAACCTCAAATTATGCCAATCGCTGCGTGCTTTTGGCAGTACGATCAACTTCAGGTGATCGTATCTTTCTTTCAATTTATTCCACAAGTCAAGAGGATTCTTGACTGTGAGATATTCCATTTTCAGTCCTTCATCGATATGATGTCGGAGGAATATCACTGCCTTCGCTCGGCTATGATTAGTAGCACTGTTGCCTCGCACAATCGTCTCACCCAGGCCCATCGATTCCAGATGCATTTCAACATCCATAGCCCACGATAGATAATTTTTGCCAGAAATGACAAGTGGGACAAATTCCTGTTTTGCAATGTTAGTAGCCATAATAATATTGAAATATACTTACCGTGCCGGAAAAGTTGATCGTGCTGATAACGTGTTATATAATAAATATATATCTATATTATATATGTAAGTATTATATATGTATATGGGTTCTGCAGTGTGGTGCGTGTATATATATATATTTATATATATATGAGTTATTAATGTGTATTGAGTGTGTGAGCAAATAAAAGTAAATTGAGAGAGAGGGATCAGATGCTACATTTGATTCATTTATATCAATCATACATGCACATATATATAGGTAAAGTATGTAAAGTATGGCGGTGTAATGCATCCACTCGAGGTAGTGTCTACGTCGACATCACATCGGTACTATGTCTATATTAAAAATAATATTTTATTAATTATCAGTTTTATTGTTTTAAGTTTTTTTGAGTTTATTTGATTTTGTTGTCAATAAAGATGTATTATTTTTTCCTTAATAAAATTATTATATTAAAATACATTTAAATAAAAAAATAAAAACTAAATACAACCAAAATAAATAATTTTATATTAATATATTATACATATATTTATATAATTTTCTTTATATATAGATATATTTTTTTTAATAAAAATAGACAGCTAAAATGACTCAAAATTTTGGGACGTGGAGGTGAGTTTTGGCGGCGGTGACTCCCCACTTTGTATCCCCTTCTTTAGTTCCTAGTATAGCCAACGTTCTTCATACAACTATAGCCATGGTGTGTTTGTCTGGGACTTTGATTTCAAGTTTTATAGTTATTTAATACTTCCTTCGTCCCACATATAATATTCACGTTGCCGTTTCTGTCAGTTTTACATACCACATACCATGTTACTTTCTTTTTTTGAAAAATGATTACACACTTTAATCTTATTTTAAACTTTTTAGTTTTTTTTAAAATTTTAATTAAACTAATTAGTTATATTATCGGATAATTATTTTCACTAATATATTTTTAATTATCTACTAATTACACCTCTCCTAAAATACCGTGTCTACAGTGTACACCTCTCCTAAAATACCGTGTCTACAGTGTAGCGGACACGGTATATGGGACAGAGGGAGTATTATATAAATGGTATTTTATATATAAATATCACATTATATATTAGCAAAAATCACACTAAGAAGATGTATTTAGGAGACAACCAAATATAGATTATCAGAGAGTAAACTATTTCGTTATATAGCATATATATATATATATATATATATAGAGCACATATTATGTACAAAAAAAATCACATAAGTAAAAATAATTAGCACATGGTATGTTTATGAAAATCACACAAACAATAACTATTTAGCACCTGATATATAATAATTTATCATATAAATAATAGTTTCTTATCGTGTAATATAATATAGATAGACTACGTAGTGTATTTACAAAAATCATGTAATATAATATAGATAGACAACGCAGTGTATTTACAAAAATCACGACTGGTTCACCTTGTGACTTGCTTGTCGACCATAATTTGCAGGGTATTAGGTTCGATTGGGAGTTTACTCAGTGCGCACTTTCGGGTAGCGGTTGCAGGTTCCCACGTCATAAATAAAAAAAAAAAAAAAAAGAAAAATACACCAACTTTTTTCTTTTCAAATAATTTTTTCTAAAATTTATAGTATAAATTAACTTAGAGGTAACAAAACATAGATAGCAAATAATATGTTAGTAGAAATCATACTAAGAAAAACGTATTTAAGACACGAACAAGTATAAATTATCATAGAGTAGACTTTTTCGTTATATGTAGCATAACATATAGAGAGAACATATTAATTAAAAAAATCAGCATAGAATCCAATATTACATATCAAAGAAGAGATTCTTTTATGTTAAAATTAACTCTTAACAAAATATGAATTGTACATATTATGTTCAAACAAAACACTGTACCAAAACTTACTTAACACACGATGGTCCATTCATTACAAAATAAAAAAGGTTGAACTTTAGCTACAAAAAAAATTTGTAGCAAAAAGATTTTTGCGTCCTATATCTTCGGCGGAAAATTTGACTTTTATAATGAAAGATAAATTTTTTGTATTGAAAAGTAAGAAAAGAAATATCGCTACGAAAATATAATTTTTTAGCTAAAGCTCTTTTTCAATAAATATAAAATATATAACAAAAGAATTTTAACAACAAAATATATATTATTTTTTTAGCCAAATGATTTTAGCTATGAAAGATAGGTTTGTAGCTAGAATCCTTTCGCCATGAAAATAAAATCTTTCTAACTAAAGAATTTTAGCGAAAAAATTAATATTGTACTATATAATTTATTTTAGCGATAAAATTAATTTTTATTTTTCAATTATACTTTTTAACTACAAAAATATTTCGTAACTAAAAATATTGTAACTAATTAAGCATTTTTTGTTGTGATTATGAATTATCACATATGGCGCTATTTGTTTTTGTGTTTTTCTCTAAAACTTTACAAATACAAGAATCATAACAAATATAAAATTCAATATACTTGCTGATACTTATCAATTTTATTGCGATTATAGGCACACAAGAAAGAGTTTGGAGTGAGAATTAAGATGAAAAAAAAAATGAAAAACAAACCTGAAAAACTCAAATACTTATATTACTATTGCAATAAAAAAGAATACCGTTTGAGAAATAAGATGATTCTTGACAAAATTGAAAAATCAACTGAAGAATAAATATTTTTCAAAAGAATATTGCAAGAAGAAAAAAATATGAAATAAGGATTGAATGTACTGCAGGATTGGAATTGCAATTTTATATAATATCTAATATATATAAGGTTACCTTCTTTGATGACAATCATAATCATGAGTTATACAATCTAGAACACAAGCATGTGCTTAGCTCAAATATAGAATGAATGAATCTAACAACATTTTAACAAAAATAAATCATGAAGTAGAGATCCAACTGAGAAATACTTTTGATCTCTTGAAAGTAGTTGTATAAGGCAACTAAAATGTAGGTTTTCTTAAGTTAGATCTGAAAACCAAATGAAGAAGCAAAGATATATTGCTCTGAAGGAAGGAGAAGCAAATGCACTATTGAATACTTTAGTCAAAGATCAATGCACAATTTATATTTTTGCTATGAGATTAAGGTTGATGCAGATGAAAAGATAGCGAACATCTTTTGGTATGATGCTCAAATAAGAATAAATAAACTACTCACTTTTGAGATGCTATAGCATTTGATACAACATACTAAACATAAAAGAACTTCCCATATTTTGGTCAGAAATAGCACTTAATTGTTCCTTATAACAATATTTATCCAATTAATTTTCTATGTACTTGTGAGATTCAACCACCATAGACAAACATGGGCGTTTAGGGCAGAACTATTGGGAAAATTGAAAAAAATATTTCACACATACTCTATTATCACTTTTGTCGTGTACTTATTTCGCTGGCAAAATATATCTCACATGTTTACAAAAATCGCTATTTCTATCATTTGACCGCACGTGGCCGCGCGTAATTGCGCGTAAAGGCGCGTGGGTGTGAATATCACGCGTGGGCAAATGACATAAATAACGACTTCTGTAAATATACAGGACAAAAGTGATAATAGGATATAAGTGAGATATTTTTGCAATTTTCTCCAGCACTATTATATGAAAAGATATAGGAATCTTTCTATTTGTTGTTTACAACTTTTTTAGGTGTATGAATGGACGGGAATCAAGGACTATTCACAGATCAAGGCTTGGCAATGACACCAGCAATGAAAAGTGTCATGCCAAGCACACCATGCTATGTCATGAAAAACGCAAAAAAAAAAAAAAAATAAATAAATAAATAAAAAATTCAAGATTTGTTTTCATGCTCTAGTTACATAGAATTTACTCTCTACATATTTCATGTAACTAAATGACCATCTAATTGCTTTTTATAATGTAATGGACTTTCTGGAATACTTTTACAAATTGATGTATGTTGTTCAAGATGAAACTGAATTTGATACACTGTGGAGAAATATATCAGAATCTTACTTTCCTAATGGTACCTATATATGGATTTTGAATATCTATAATTTAAAGCAACATTATTTTCAATATGGACAAAATCAATTTTCACTGTAAGAATAAGAAGTACCCAACTTAGTAAATTTCTAAACAGCTCTTTAGAAAAGTAACTTTTTTTATAGATCACATAAAAAAAAAAAAAAAAACAAGATAGCAAGCATGCAATACATAGATAGCATATACTATGGTTTAGTTCGTTTATTTATTTTATGTATCATCAATTCATATTCTATATTCTATTATTTTTCTACTATACATTTACTTATACAATAAATGTGTTTACTGTAAATTCTTGCAATCATGCAAAAATATTTTTAATTCTTTACAATAGTTTGAAAGGATTCTAGGCAATATTAGAGAAATATAACTTTAACAAACTTTTCTGCAAATGATAAGAAAGTTTGAGCAAATCACGTGTTGCATCATTTACTGAAACATACAACACGACTATATACACCAAATAATAATTTCAAGTATTCATATCAGAATACCAAAAATAATATCAATAAATAGTAAGTTGTGTGGAAGAGAAAATAGTATACTAAATATACCATTTTCAAAGAAAAATAGAGCATAATATAATACAACTTCCAATTAATTGAAAAATCATCTCTAGAGTGCAACTACAAACTTTGCATACAAACAAGGATTCTTTGTTGCCATTCTATTTGGTTAATAGATATATTAAGAGGACATGACATGCACAGTTCCAACATTTACCTAAGAAGTATATGTTGAAAAGATGAACAAATGATGCAAAAATATAATATAGGGATGCAATAGAAAACTTTGATCCACGACAGAAAAATATGACTTTTGACGATAGACACGGACCATTGTGTCATTTATTCCTAAATTTTGCACGACTTCTTTATTCCAATCAAAGAAGATGTGAATTATATTTGGGAGAATTCAATAAGCTTTTAAAGACAACACCGTGTGCTATGATTACAACTTCAACAATAATGCAGGATGAATGTAAGTATATACACTTATTTTTGAGGAAATTAGTGTTATATTTACTGAATTAAATTCAATTAATGCAAATTCAAAAGGAGGTTTTAGCATAAAGAAAAAAAAAAAAAAAAACAATCAAAGAGAAAGGATTAGAAGAACATATTCTATTAGCAATCAGGAAAGAGAAAAAAATGAAGAAAATAGCAAAGAAATCGAACACATTGCACTGCATTGAAAAAGACAATACAACTTCTTTTGTTACTACTATTTCAAATATAGAACTTCAACAAGTGCTATTTCTTTGATAATGACAATTTAATGTAAAAAGTACTCTTAGCAAAAAAATCTACTACATCTTATCATAAAATTTCGGTAAAATTGTTTATAACTCCTTTTTTTGTTTTAAAATTCAGTGTAAAATCTCTATACTTTAAAAATTGCATGACGATTGTTTATACTTTAAAAAATGTTGCATGAAATCTAACTACCATGAAACCTCTCTTGTGTAATAAGAAGATGATTTCCTATTTATATTTTTTGCATGGCGGGGGAGAGAGGGTTTCATGCAACATTTTTCAAATTATAGGAGAATACTATGCAATTTCTAAAGTAAAGTGAGGATTTACGTTGAGTTTCGAAACCACAAAGGGGTTTCATGCAATATTTTTTTAAGTATAAGAAAACATCATACAATTTTTAAAATAAAATAAGAATTTACACTGAGTTTTGTAATAACAAGAGAGTTATGTGTAATTTTGCCTAAATTTTATTATTTTTTTTTACAAATAGCAGTATATAAAAATATAGCACATGTGTATTTGTAAAAATCACAAAACAAAAATTCAATTAGCAAACACTCATTTCAATTTAAAATATCATTGTTTTTTTCTTTGGAAGTAACTGTATAAAATGTAACACTCGTTATATTAAAAATGATCACACTAACAAAGAGTAATTAGCACATGACAGTATACCTTAACACAAAAAGAAAAATAACATCAAATAGAAAGATCTTTTTCTTTATAAGTAATAGTATGTAAAATAGCACATAAGGTATTCGTAAAAAGTACACTAACAAAACTCAATTAGCACACAATAAGATACCACATAGAAACAAAATTTTATTTACATGCAACGTTGCATAGAATAGCACATAATATATATATATATATTTTTTTTTAAAAAATCACATCAACAAAACTAATTAGCACCCAATCAAAACTTAATTAACATATAATGGAGATAAAATAAAAATAGTCCTTTTTTTTTCCCGCCAGATCTTATCTTATAAAAAAAAAAAAAAAAACCTATATTTCTAGAGGAATATCATATATGGAAGAAAAAACCTACTAAAAATATGATCGGTAGTTTCAATTACATACAAAATTAGATTATCATAGATGAGACTAGTTGTAATGCGGCCTAGCGAGCACGCGGATGGGGTCGCCATACAGCTTCCAGACCGCCTCCTCGATGACTTGCATGTTGATGATCAGCTGCAGCAGAGGAGTGATCTCGGCATGTCATCGGGACTGTTGCGGACCTACCTGAGCACGAAGAAAAGATGGTTGATATCCATGTGGGAGGTTTGCCGGAGGAGGAGGACGTGTTCGATTCCCCTCGGTTGGCACTCTTGGCAGTATTGTCAGTGGAGGAGCAAAGTTCCTGAATTGGATCAGGGCCCCCTGAAGCAAATATCAATATATGTGTGGCTGTCCGGTCGGTCGAGTAAATGTCACTTCTTGGTATGCTGCCTATCCTCCCAAGTGGAGGCGGCACGGCCGGAGCTGGTATATTAGAACTCCATGTAACTACCACTGCTGATGGAGGTGAGCCCCACAGGCCTGGAGGTGACGGAGCTGCCCCCAGCGTGCATCCGGAGGTGGGACAAATTTCCCCCAAGCGACTCCAGGTGTTGGTGGAGCGAACAGAGGTATCAAGGCCGTTGTCGGCCATACGATTGGCGGTTCTTGTTCCAGCTGGGATATTTCCTTGGTCGTTCAATTCTGCAGGTGATGTGGGCACACTAATTCCACCGAACAATGGATCGTTATGCCATTGGGACGTGAGAAACGCATATCCACTGCTCCCCGGATGTCCTTGATATGGCGGCGGCCTTAAGATGGCCTGCTCCGAAAACCGCTCAGGTCCTTCAGCCGCTATCTCGTCCGGGAGACCCTTATCTCTGCTTTCTTTGTTTAGTATGGTCACGGTGCCATATTAGAGTCTTGCCGGAGGTTGCCTGGACGTACCTTCCGGCCTGCCTTCACTGGAAGGGTCATTTCCAACATTCTCATGGCTGGCCGACGGTGCCTTACCCTTGCGTATTTCCTCATTCTCATCCACGCAATCTCATTTCGGATGGTTGGTTTACAAATGTCGGTTAGATATCGAGAGAGTGTCAATACCGACTCGTGGAAGGATGCTTAGATTTTCCGAGGGATCTAATTTTGCAAGACGTTTGATGGAATTTCCGTAATTCTTTATGCGCCTCTTGGAGCTGCGGAAGAATCGCATGCATAATCTCTCTGGAAACATACGGCGTTGAAGTTTCGCCTAAAATTCCTTTATCTTTTGACATGTTGATGCTATCCGGGGAAGTTAATTTGCGATTTATCAATTGCATAGAATACTAAATTCGTCGAAGTCCCACTAGCCGTGCCAATATGTAATTGTTGAAATTCGATGTTGGCGGCCTAATCGATTTGGGCTTGTCGGTATCGATATCAAGTTGGAATTCTCTGCCTAGTTAATAAAGTATCCTAGCTAACATTGCAAAGAAAATTGATATTCTTACTGTCTATTAAAATTAACTTATTGGAATGCAATGTGAAAAAGAAGTTACTATTATGGATTAAGCTTTGAAATTGGAAAATTAACAGGAATTTAGGAACAAAAATTTGATAAAAAAAGAAAAAGTAGAAACAATAGGAGTTGGATTCTTCTTTGCATTGCACCATTGTCTCCCTTATTTCCTAAAATTTTGACCTATATAGCCCTCTATTTGATTTTGTTCCTTGTATTTATTATATTTTCAATTATGTTTAGGGTGCGCAGAAGTGTGTGGAGTGTTCCGCAAGAATAACTCAACTCGATCGGTAAGGATCGCGTCTCCTTTTCAGATCCATTAATATCATCACATCAAATATTAGCCAAAGCTGCATCTACCAACCAACGATGGGGTGGGTCTGGAACAACACTCACGACGACGATGACAATTCCACTCGTATTTCCTCCTCCGCCGGTGACGTTGGGGAATTCCGCCGCTCCTCAAACCCTTATGGGAACGAGAGTAACTGCGCTACGCGGAAGGTCGTGAGCTCGCAGTGCCGAACGGAGGAAGTAGAACCTGGGAAATTCATTCGCAAGTGTGAGAAAACGGAGCAGGTCTTCAAAGATTGCCTCGGAAGGTATTTGATAAAAATTTGCTATCTTCTTTGCAAGTTTGGATTCAATATATGATTTCGTCCTCTGAAAAACAATTTGGTTTTTGTTAATTGCTCGTTGGCAAATGGATTAATCGAGGATTTTATCGAGTGAATAGTCGGAGGATGTACGTTGCAAGATGCTGTTCCATCTGTTTGAATGAATGGAAAATTTGTTCATCCTTTTTAGGATTACATTGACACAGACTGCTGTAGATGGGATGAGACTTAGGTATCTGCTGGTGGTAAGGAGTAGGTCTAGAGTTAGGGTGTTTTAATAAATTGAAAGGAACATATGAAGGAGGTGAGAAGAAGAAATGAACTTATGTAGATTAACTCAGGTTTACAGAATATGATCAAGATTCTGCGTTTATTGGGGATACAACTCTGAGTAGGTGGGTGGACATCTTCAACCATTATCTCTATTTTCCTTAAAATTCAATTCCAAGATTTCAACCCATTTCAATCATCACCAAAATTTTGAGCCACTATGATCATTTTCACCCAAACTTAGAGCTAAAAATGGTGGAAACTTTTAGAATCAAATATGGTTGGATATAGTCTGCATTACAGAAACAAATAGCTTCTATAATTTGCCCATTTGGAACTTAACTCATGACCTAAGCAATCTAGATTTAATTGAAATGATGTAGCATTGAAGTTTCTTTTTCATTGATTAAAAAAAAAAATAAAGAAAAGAAAATGGTTTGTTACTTTTATACGCTTGATTGTACTTTGTTATACAACTCCCCTGTTTATTGAATCTTGAGGTTGCACCTTTTGAAATGCATCGGATATTGTCAAAAAATCAATAACATGATATGTTAATGTTGCCGAAGCTTGCCAACTGGGGTAGGTTATTCCTTTCCTTGCAAAGACTTCCAACTTTTGAATCAGAAGTTAAAGATAGAAGTAGAATAGTACTACATTTCAAAAAAATTTGTATTGGAGATTTTTCAAATATTCTGTAATTTTTATCTTTTTCCCTTGTATATTCAATTTTACTAGTTCATAAAAACATTTTAAAAACATAAGAGTAAAATGAAGTTAATGAACTAAAAACTATCAAAATAGTGTTTTCTTTTTGTGTTTTGTTTTGAATTTTATATTTAAATTTTGGTTTGCATAGTATTCTGAGGTGATGATTTGTGTTAGAGAATAATCTATTTTTTAAGGAATTGTGAGAATTAAATAGCAAAAAAAGTGGAATGAAATGCAAAGTGAATGCAAAATGTGGCGGCGGTAGCATGTAAATAAGATGAAGTTAATTGTGGCTTGTTTGCTGCAGTGACTCTAGAAAATAATCTATCAAAGCTGTTGGAAACATGATTCATAGACATTTATATCCCTTTCTAGATACATAAAAAAAATAAAAATAAAATAAAATAAAATAACAAAAGAAGTAAAAATAATTGTCAAATTCAGGATTGTTGTATTTTCAAAATTCATGAAAATACTGAATGCACATTTGGCTTTAAGTAGAAAACTTGTTTTAGCAGTTATATATAAACTTGTTATCCTGACATGGTATGGTATTGGTTTTACACAGGTCAAGTGAGATGATACAATCTAACAAAGAGTACACCGAGGAGGATGTGACGGACCAAATGACAAAAGGCTCATTTCCGTTTGAGTCAGGCGAGCATGGGCCATGGAACTTCCCTGGATTGCGCAATGATATTGATGCCATCGAGCGCAATATAATTGATGGTATTGACCGATTTTTTCAAGCAGCTGAAGATATGAAGAGTGAGTTCTTCAACTCAGTCAGGTTTCCACATGTTTACGACAAAGGCAACAACCGTGGTATCTTCGTGGAAGATTCCCCTCCTAAGGAAGCTTTGGGTAAGGAGAAATCTGGTGGGGATGTTGTTGATTTATCTGGGTTGGCCAGAGATGTCTGAGTTAATATATCCTTATTTACTACAGGGAGAAGGAGCGATAGGGTAGGTAGTTTAATTCACATTATTATACCAAGTTAAGAAGAATGAAATGAACATGCATGTGTGTGGGGAATGAAGTTGAGTTCTGATCTTGTCTTGATAATGGTTTTGCTGGTGATGGTGATGGTGATGGTGCTCTTTTTAATATATGATTTTAATATTTAGATTGAAAAGAAAAACTAATAGTATCACAGTGGAGTAGTATTTTTGAAAGAGAAGCAAATAGAAAAAAAAAAAAAAATATATATATATATATACTACTTGAGTCTCACAAACTAATGTCTTACTTTTCTATTTGGGACGTCCAATAACTATTGTCTTTTTTTTTTTTTTTAATACAAATTTTACATTTTTATCATTTATTCATTTATTACTTTTAATTTCTACCATAAAATTATGGGCAAATTTGTCAATTCATAACAAAAAGGAAATCACAAAAAAATGTGCAAATATACTTTGGGACAATAGAAATTGGACGGAGTGAGTATTATATTAAAATATAGTACAAATTAAAAAAAATTACAAAAATATTTTCATTAGTGTTTTATAATACTAGAAGATTATTTATACAAAAAATTATACAAATATAATGATATTTTTAATGTTAAGTACAGTAATACAAAAGGTAAATGTGATCTTAGAGACGGACCGGGAGAGAAAAGACTAGAGGATTCAAATAATCAAGCCTTAAAAAAGTATTTTCTCATAGATCTCACTCAATATTTTTTAAACTCTACTTTTACCGCTTCGATGGATATGGTTGTGATAATTACACTTGTTTTGAATGACAACAAAATGAGAGAATATACATATATATATATATATGTATCTATGTTAATGAAATAATACAACTATTCCTCTATCAGTGTATTTATTCTATCATTTTGGTTTATCATTGTCCTTGAATAATTACCATCGGCGACTTACTTGGAGTTGGGCCGGTCGGATGAAATATGACGGTGGATTACTGCGAAAACTCAACAGACTTGGGGCATGTGTTTGATTTGACACGGAATTGACACTAGAGAATTAAATTATTTAATATTAATAAAGTATATATTGTATAAATAAATTATAAAATATAATGAATATTTTAGATAGATTTCTACTCATTTTTTATTTGTCGAGTGATTTATGCCCATGCCAAGTTTTCAATCAAAAAATTATGAAAGTACTTGATTTAAGTTCACATGTCAAGGAAAGTGATGGATTACGGGAATTGAGGCGTAATTGTTGGCGTGATGATTGAGAGGGAGTGATTAAAGGAGCTATTAAAGATCCGAAGGGGGATCAAGCATTGGATGAGATATCACAATTTATACTTTCATTTCATAGCTTAGCTTGGAAGATTGAGAAGGACAGTTTGAGATGAAGCGCGCCTGGATGATCATCATTTTTACTGCTTTTATTCATTTCTAAATATGAGTAGCTAATTTTCTAATTTAGTTCAAGGTTAAATGTAGATTCCAGATTGGGATTTTCGAGATTGTGTTATGATTTAATTTGAATCTTATTTAGTAAATTGATATTTGTGCTATTTCTGTAATTCATGCCTATAATTATTTTATTTAATCTTTTATCGCGGCCAAATTTTAGATTGGTTTAGCAATTGTTTGTCAAATATTGTGCATTTATTTGATAAAGTAGTAAATATGTTGACAAACTTAGCCTAGGAATGGCATAATTAAATAATCTAAACTTTAAGTAATTGATTAAATATTTGAATTGGATTTTTTTCGTGCTATTTTTAATTGGGGAAATTAATTTATGATCGCGCTAGATTATTTATTTGATTAGGAATGCGGTTAATCGGTCGTACAATTGCTGCCAATAAAGTAATGAGAATCGGGTGTTATGATCGTATTTAATGCCTATAACCAATTTATCAATTGAATAACAAGATTATTTAGAATCGATGATCAAATCTTTAATCCGATTTCTTATTCACTCATTGGGTTAGAAATCTAATATCTTTGGAAGCTAATTTTTATTTCCCGCCGCTTATTTTAATTACCTTTGTTGAATTTTCTAATATCTCCACCAATACTTGAAGTGTGACAAAAAATAGGAATTAAACTTCATAGTCCCGATGGATCAACCTCGGCACCACTTGCTACATGGCGAATGTGGTGTTAGAAAATTTTTATTGGAAACACCGAGACAACCAAATTTTGGCACAGTTTCTGGGGATTGGCATTTGATTTATTTTGTATTTTTGTCATTTAATTATATTTTATTATTATATATTCAATTGTTTATGCCCCGCTCTTCTCGCACATAAAATGTGATATACAAAGAGCAAATTGAAAGGTTAGCGAGGACATTGCGGAAGGAAGCAAAAAGAAGGCTAGAGTTGGAGAAGGCTTCAATTTCGCAATCGAGAAAATCGATTAAGCAAGAACCTGATATGGCGGAAGAAGATATCTGCATGCTTAAGGAGTTAGCCGCGCTTAATCTAAACTTACAACCTCTGTGCATTACTTTGTCGGAAATTGAAGGTAATGCTAGTTTTGAATTACGATCCGGACTAATACACTTGTTGCCCTCATTTCATGGCCTTGCAAGACAGGAACCACATAAACATCTGCAGGAATTCAATGTGGTTTGCTCGAGCATGAAACCACCAACAATTATAGAAAAGCAAGTAAAATTACGGGCATTCCCTTTCTCATTGAAGGATGAGGCGAACGAATGACTCTTTGTTTATCGGCGAGAAGTATAACTACTTGGAGGGACATGAAAAAGAAATTTTTTGAGAAGTATTGTCCGGCATCGCGGACGGCGATATTGCGTAAGGAAATTTGTGGAATCAAGCAACAACAAGGAGAGACGTTGCATGAAGATTTGGAGAGGTTCAATAGGTTTTGTGCGCGCTGCCCACAACACCAAATTATTAACCAACTATTGCTCCAATACTTTTATAAAGGGTTGACATGGGAGACCGGAATAATATTGATGCGGCTAGCCAATAAGCGTTGGCGGATAAAATACTGAAAACGGCATGGGAGTTGATCGCGAGGATGACAGAGAATTCGCAACAGTTCGGAACTAGAGGAGTCGAATATTCGGAAGGTAACGATTCTCTTAAACAACAAATTTCCGATCTTACAAAAGTTGTTAATCAATTGGCTGTAGGAAACATATGTCATGTGAAAGCATGTGGAATTTGCACGAGCCCGGAGAATGCCACCGATGAATGCCCTACCTTGCATGAGGACAATCATGCCGATGTGAATGCAGCCGGTTTCAGCCCACCTAGGCGACCACAATATGATCCTTATTCAAACACCTACAACCCGGGGCAGAAGGATCATTTGAATCTCAGGTATGAGAATCCGCATCATCCGTTCCGGTCACAAGCACCTCCGCAACAATTTGTCCAACCACCACCACCTCCTTGTTCGCCATGTTTCTCTCTGAGAATTAGCAACCACAATGAACTGTAAACTTCATCCAACAAACCCAGGTAAAATGACAACTATAATACTGATTTAACCTCAACGAATGTATAGTCCAGATTGTCGCGATAACAATTATAAATAAAGACCCCTATATTACTACCTTGTGAATATCCACCAAGGAAAAAATAAGTGAAAGACCACCCGTGGGCATCTCTTAGTACAAAAATAAAAATAATCTAAACAAACTAATTTAAAACCCAATAAATCACCTATTTTTAATAATGTAGCTGCACAACAGTTTGTAGATACCTTATTAGTAGACATCGTCCAGGACATGCACCAGTACGAGAATAAGACCATTCAATAAATTCCTTCAAGTAAAAACAAATACCAAACTTAGCTAAATTCATAGATGGAAAAATTTTGAACACACCCGTTGGGGAAGTCATTGTGCTGAACTAGAAAAGGCCAAGAACAACCAATTTCTCTCGGTAATAATAAACTTCATTGATTGACATATTAAAGTCAATCATAATTTCATCGGCTTCGAGCAGCACACCATGTATTCCTGCGCTTTGAATTTGTGTTACAAAGGTATCACTTTTAATTCAATGACAATAGTAAAATAATTTCTATGAAATGAGGTAACTACGCTATGAGTTTGAGTTTATTAAGAAGGGAATATATGTTCTACTTGTATTTTATTACTAGCACTATCCACCAAATGTATGTTCATTTAGGTTGAACATAGATTTTAATGAATAAAATATATTATATTCATTGACTATGACGTGGGAAGTATATCGATGAGTTAATAAAATGATAAAAAAAATTTTATAATTGAGTTTATAGATATTGTGGTATTTTTGTAAATTAGTATAATATTGAAATGAATAAATCAAAAAGTATGTAAAAATAATTTTTTATTGTAAATTGATACACTAATTGCAGAACGCATGAGGTTGTACATGACGACTTTCTCAATTGGGCCATCAATTTGTTACTTTACATTGGGAAATTTAATTTAGTTTGGTTTAGACCATTTTCCATATTGCTATAAGCAGTTTGTTTGTTTCTTGTTTCTTTTGCCCTGTTGCATATATATATATATATATGTGTGTGTGCATATCAAGCTTGTACTACAAGGAGTTCTGCGATTAATTCATAATGAAAATTCCTCATTCTTGTTTCCCCCAAAATCGTCATGGTATCAGAGCTTTGAGTTCGACTGTTCTCTATTTTCTTTTATTAATTCGATGTATGATTTGGATTTCACTGAGATTGATTAATTCTTAGTCTCGCGATCTGTTCTGCTTCTACTATCTTCTTGTTGCAGTTTTTTTGATAAATTGCAATATCTATCACCCTCGTTTGGACACACACTGAACTCATCCTTGATGCAATTGAAAATTTCTTCCCATGACCAACCTAACATGAGTCTTGTTCTTCTTCAACTCAAGACAAATTATTTGATATAGAGCACAGTGGTGTTGAGAACTCTTTCGGGAAAAGGAAGAAAGGGATTCATGACTAGGGAAATAAGCGACCTCAAGATCCAATAGTTGTCTCAGAATGGAAAATAAAATTTAATATAGTACTCGGCTGGCTGTTGAACTCGATCTCTCCAAAAATTACACGTTGCATTAAGTCTCATCAAGACAAGTCATGAGTTATGGGAGAAACTTAAGTTGCGCTATGGTCAGCACAATGGCCCTCTCATTTACCAAAAAAGGAAAGAAATCAACAAGCTCTATCAAAGTAATCTCTCCATGGCTGCATACTTATAAACTGCAGAGTTTGAAAGATGAGTTGTCCCGTTTAGCACCTATGCCTATTGTAGAAATAAAGTCAATCTGTACCTTCACAACCTAGATGCAATTGATTATCATATGGACTTAAATGACAATTTTGATGTTGTAAGGAATCAAATACTTATGATCGATCTTTTGTCTGATGTGAACAAGATATATGGTATACTCTCAACTGTAGAGAAACAACAAGAGGTACATGACATATTAAAAGTTCCTTCATCCACTGTGTTATTTGCTAACTCTAGAACCTTTGAAAGAAATGGTGATAAAAGTGTTGATATAAAATAACCAGTGAAGGAAAATTGTACATGTCAACAAAGGGTGCGTTCGTTTGTAGGATTTCTGCCGGATTTTACTGTATGTTTACTGTTCAAATCCTTCACTTACAAATCCTAAAAACCCTACCCTATAAATCCTATTCTCTTACTATTTGGTCCCTACACTTCCACACTTTATTTTTCAGTTCTTTTTTTAAAAAAAATATTCATCACTGCAAATCTAGCCAAAGAACAATAAAATGACAGCGACCATGAGGGCGACCACCGATGGAAGAACTGCAAAATAATTTTTTTTTTTTAAAAAAGAGAAAACAAAAATAATGAAAATATCGCAGCAAAGGAAAAATAAAAAAATAGCCCCGGCTTCTCCAAATCAAAAGAAGGGCTATTCAATCCGCTCACAAAGAAAAAAGATAAGAAAAAAAAAAAAGCTCACCGGATGTTTCAGTAGACGGCGGCGGACTTCGTCTCTGGGAGAAAGGTGGCGGCACAAGGTAGAAGAAGGAAGAGGGAGGAGAAAGAAGAAAAAGAAAAGAAGGGAGGAAAGAAAAACACCAGGAAGAATTGGAAGAAGGGGGGAATAGAATGGAAGTGGTGGGGTGGGGGTGGGGCGGTGGTGGAGTGTAGTAGTGGGTTAGGGTTGTTTTTTATATATGTATATGTATATATATATGTCAAATCAAATCATATTTTTATTTATTCATCATATTTTTTAATAATATTAAAATATTTAAATATTTAAACTATCATATCAATATATTATTTTTTAATTAAATAATAATTTTTTCAAATATAACTATTATAAAATTCAAACCCTCAACCAAACACAAATACAAAATTCTAATTTCAAAATCCTTATAAAATCCAAATTCAAAATCCAAACCCCCAAACAAACACATAAAAAAAAAAAAATTGATTTATGATCAGTTCAAGAGAAATGGACATGTCAAAGCAAAGTTCTTCAAACTTTATGGCTATCATGAATGGTATAAGGAAAGATTGGATAAGAAAATGAGGGAGAATTGTAAGATTACATTGCAAGCATGTGAAGATGCTACATTAGTTGCTTCCTACAATGTTGGATTCAACTTTGCATCCAACAGTGCCTTACATTCATTATCCAATGAATCCTTAAACGATCTGATACATAAATAGATTAGGAAAACTTTTGAATCCTGCAAAACACCAATTGAACAAACCAATATGTTCAACACTCATCATCCATGTACTATTTGTCTAAATGCATCTAATGAGATGAATAAATTTAGAGGTTGGATTCTTGATAGTGGAGCTGCATGCCATATAGCTAATGACAAAAGGTTTTTTTATTGTTTGATACCACTTGAGAGTCCTATTAAATTCTTCATGCCCAATGCAACAGTGCAGTTAGCAGAGTAGACATGCACAATGAGATTGAATGAGAATATTACTCTACTTGATGTCTATTTTCTCCCTACCTTTAATTATTTGTTGTATCCATATATAAACTTTGCTTGTCACCATAATTATCTTTAGTTTTCAGGAATAACAAGTTTTTAATTCAGGACCATGATCATCATGTGCTTGGAAATGAGTGCTCAAAGAATAGTTATTCTAACTGAAAAGTCACACCGATCAAGTGTGTGCTGCCAAGTTGGATACTCCTTGGCATCAAAGGTTAGGACATCCATCCAGTTTGGTAATACAAAAACTTCTGCTTAACTCTATTTTTATGAATAAGGATGTTGCATATATTACTTTTCTACCTTGTGATGCTTTCCATTTAGCAAAATGAGATATTTATCTTTTGGTTTGAGTGCTAATAAAGTCGATTCTTGCTTTTCTTTATTACATCTTGATATTTGGGGCCCTTATCACTTACCATCTATTTGTGGAGCCAATTTTTTTTTAACTATTGTAGATGACTACAGGAAAAGCACATGGATTTCCTTATTGCCACTAAAAACACAGGTCTTGAATGTATTTGTTGTGCTTATCAGATTTATTCATACTCAGTTTAACTTCAAAGTAAAGAATGTGAGAACAAACTTTTGAGGTGAGTTTACTTCCCTGGATTTCAAGAATCTATTACAAAAGAATGAAATTGGTCATTACAAGTCTTGCCCCTATACTCCACTCGAAGAAAACATCAGGACCTCATCTCTATTGCTAGAGCATTCCTTGTTCAAGCCAATCTACCTACTGAGTTCTGGGGAGAAGTTGTTCTAAAGCTAGTCACTTAATCAATCTTCTCTCACTCTTATGTTGAATTGGAAATCACCCTATGAGATCTTATATAACAAGAAACCAGATCTTAATAGTTGAGAGTCTTTGGATATGTGTGTGTGTGTGTGTTTTTTTTTTTTAATATATAATACAGATCCTACAAGAGATAAGTTTAGTAATAGAGGAATTAAACCTATCTTCATGGGTTATGAAAAATGAATAAAAGGTTACAAAGTTTTCATTCCCTCCACTAGACAGTTCTTGATCTTTAGAAATGTGATATTCTTTGAATTGTACTATCTCTATCTCTAACTCTTGTCTTTCCTCCGTGGTTGGGAATGAGGACATGGAATCTTTACTAGTTAATAAGTTCAACTTTATAAACACTCCCTCTCCTATTCAGCCGAATTCTCAGGCTTCTCCTCCCTTGGTTGTTGAAGCTCATTCTTCTCCATCTAGTATTCCTTATTTTCCTAATACAACAGTTGCATTACCACACGTGTCACTTTCTACACAACCCCATAGGGAGGTGAAGTAACCTGGCTAGCTTAAAGACTATATTTAAACGTATATTGACAACAATGATGAGCTGATCTCTTATCTTGAAACTGTGGATAAAACCCATTGGATATAGGCTATGCAAGAGGAACATGATGCTCTTAAGACGAACCATACATGGGATGTAGTTGCAAGAGCCGAAGGAAAAAAAGCTATAGGATGCAAATGGGTATACAAAATTAAAATGGACAAATCAGCTTCAATATCTTGATTAAAGCCCAGTTAATAGCCAAAGGTTACCTTTAGTAACAAGGAAAAGACTTCACTAAAAGCTTTGCACTAGTAACAAAATGCACTACAGTTCGACTGCTCTTGGTTATTGGAATTGTTAAATGGTTGCTTATACATCATAGTGATATTAATAACGCTTTTATGCATGGAACTCTTGAGGAGGATGTCTATCTCAAGCCTCTTCCAGGGTACTCAGTCCCCCCGCCTCCAGTCATGTTTGAAAATTGAGAAAATCCTTGTATGGGCTTAAGCAAACTCCACGGGTTTGGTTCTAAACTCTCGCTACGAAGGTTCTTGCCTTTGGCTTTCATCAGTCTCCTCATGATCACTGTCTTATTATTCTTCACTGAGATCCAAATATTCTAGCCTTGATATTATATGTGGATGACATTCTTCTTATTGGTTCTTCTGTGGGATTGATTAATCTCCATGATATTTTCACCATTAAAGATCTTGGCGATGTCAATTTTTTCTTGGTTTTGAGATTAAGAAGTCTTCTTCTTGTTTGATACTATTTTACAGGGTATATCCTTGACATTCTTGAGGACATGGATATGTACTTTGTTTCTATTGTTGCCACTCTTTCACTACCTGGGATCAAGTTGTCAGCTTCTAATGACCCTTTGGATGATTATGCATTCTACAGACGACTCATTGCCATTTGTTATATTTCAACTTTTCTCGTCTTGACCTTACCATCGCGATACAACAATTAAGTCAATTCATGTCACATTCCATTTCTTGTCATTTGAAGGTTGCCCTGCATGTTCTCCGATACCTCAAGGGCTCTGTTAATTTTGGATTACACTATTGTGCCGATCATCCCTTGAATGTCACGGCCTTTGCAAATGGTGATTGGGGTGTCTATTTGGATAACCAAAAGTCCATCTCCGGCTATTGTATTTTTTTGGGAATAATTTGGTCTCTTGGAAAGCTAAAAAAAAAAACTATTGTCAGTCTCTCTACTGCAGAATCTAAATAACGTAGTATGAGCTCGTGTACGAGTGAGCTTATGTGGTTATCTTACATTTTTCATGCCTTGCGGCTTAAGTTCCTCACCGCGGTACCACTTCACTGCATAACTAAACTGCTATTCACACCATAGAAAACTCCATGTTTCACGAACGGACCAAACATATAGACATCGCATTTCATCCACCATTATTACGACAACAAACTCTTTGTTCTAGTGTTTACGAGCACTGGTAATCAGTTAGCCGACAGTCTCACAAAATTGCTTTCTGGTGCAAATTTTGTCCGACTTCGCTACCAAGCTCTGCAATGACACGCTTGGCGCGAGGGGGGTGATAAACTAATAGCAGAAGGCATGAGGTTAAAGACAACTACTCTCTCGATTGAGCCATCAATTTGTTACTTTACATTGGGCCATTTAATTTAGTTTTAGCCCATTTTCCATATTTCTATAAGTGGTTCGTTTGTTTCTTGTTTCAGTTGTTTTGTTGCATATATATATATATATACATATATATCAAGTTTGTTTTTTTTTTTCTTTTGTTTTGTTGCATATATATATATATATCAAGTATGTACTACAAGGAATTCTACTATTAGTTCATAATGAAAATTCATCTTTATTGTTTCCCCCAAAATCGTCATAAATGAATGATATATACTACTACCTCCGTCAGACTGTAAGAGTCTCATTTACTTTTTGCATGTTGATTTTTGAATATTCATTATTATATCAAAATATAGTACAAATTAAGAGAAAATTACAAAAATATTTCTATTAGTGTCTTGTAATACTAACATAAGAACACTTGTATAAAAAATCATACAAATATAAGAATATTTTTAATGTTAAATACAATGACGTAAAAGGTAAATGTGACCCTTAAAAGCATAAGAAGAGAGTACTTTTTTTAAAAAAAAAACAAATAAATGAATAAGTACATGCATAAATTTGATGTACATATATTTTCGTTCGTAATGTATATTTAATCCATATGTTTAGTCACTTACAACATATATTTATATATATATAAACAATATATGTTTTTCGTGGATGCATATCTACTTAAATATAATATACTTATATTAGTAATAATTTAGGGGAGCAACATGAGTAAGTGTTCAGACCCAAGTGTAAGAGAATTCATATATAATTTTAGAATCTAGACCATTACTATTATTATACTCTCCTGTCCGCCTCTAATGAGTTACATTTATCTTTTGCGTCATTATACTTAACATTAGAAATATCTTTGGAAAAAGTAAATGAGACTCCTAGAGTCGGACGAAGATAGTATGTATTAAATTTTAAATTATATTTTAGATTTTAATTCACTTTTTTTTTTCCTTTACCGTTATCCAATTTAATTCTAATTCTAAAATTAAACTTTAACAATTTTTTTCTTTCTCCATCTCCATTCTTCTTACCTACACGCCTCCACCTATTAAAATTTAACGTAAATTTATATTTGTTTGTCTTTATTTGTATTAAATTTTTGTAATGAAAATTACATTTGGAGTATAATTCTAATTATGATATTTATTTTTTACCAATGATACATGTTGTATTTATGTCTTTTTATAAGATATATGATTAAAATAATTTTTATTTTTGTAGAATTTATTATTATATTTATCGTTAATATTGTTTTAAAAATAAATTTAATAATATATTGCTAGACTTATCATTTAAAGAAAATTTTTTGCTCAGGGCCAAGAGAATTCCGGGAGACTGGCGTGATTAGTATATTCATATGTTGATATAAATAAATATATAATAATGTCCATATGATCAATATAATCCCATTTTGTTTTATGTAGCCATATTAGCACTTCGCCACCAATTCTCACCCGCTACAATTCATACATATGTAATTTTATCCAGTTATTTTTTATACAATTTTTAATATAATTAGAACATGCAATATATACATTATTAAATAATGAAATATATAAAAAATATATTTTCTTATTAAAAAAATTAACTATTTAATATAAAATACTCCCTCCGTCCAATTTCTATTATCCTAAAGTATATTTGTATATTAATTTAGGCAATTGTCTTTTTGTTATGAATAGACAAATTTGTTATCGTAAAGATTAAAAGTGTTAAAATATAAAATTTGTATTTAAAAAAAAAAAATAGGAGTTGGACGTTCCAATTAGGAAGGAGGAAGTATTAAGTTTTATATTACTGAAACAATTCCTTTTACTAACATATATGCCCATCCCCTTCTAAGTTCGTTCTTGATCAAGTCAACCTCTGTATAAAGAGCCATTATATAATTTATGAAAGATCTCTTGATTTTGACGCTGTGAGAAAAATATATAATTTTATGTCCATCTCCTCCTAGGTACTTTATTGTTCAAGTCAAACCTCTGTTTAAAAAGTCATTAGGGTTGTGTTTTTATATAATTTTACGTTATGTTTTTACTATTTATATTATTTTATATTTAAAAAAATATCATATTAAACAATTTTTTTTAATATTTTACTACAATTTTATTTTATATTCAAACCATCAAGTAAGTTTTATTTATATCACATAAAATAACTATTCAAATTCACCTTTTTACTATTAAAAATCCCCAACTCAAAAACGAAAACCCCCAAACAAAAGCACCATATATATATATAATCTATGACTTTGACCGTGTGAGAAAAATATATAATTTTTTGTATGAAAGATGGATCGATCTTGTACATTGATATTTGACCATGACCTTATAAAAAAACTATTGTTTTAGAATCTTTTCAAGGTCCCGTTCAAGAACTTTATAATAATAATAATAATAATGCATATACTAAAAACAATAAAAATAAATAAAACTCTTATTATATAATAGTATCTGTTTTGGCTTGCTGAGGGGGCCAGCCTGCATTATATATATATATATAGTCGACGTCACTATAAAGAAATGGTCTGTCCTTGTACGTACAATTAATAATCCTCGTGTAATAATCTTGAAGAAGATTTATGATGGATGGATGAGGTAGCTGTGAAATTACAGCTAAATAATCTACACTTGCCTACCACATTTCAGATTCAACAACTGAAGCAGCAAAATGATGATGATGATGACCACCTTTTCTTTCTGCCTCCCATCTTCCTCTTGATGTCTTCTTCTGCACCGCCTCCCGTGTATTCGGAGACAATATTTCTTTGATTGCCGGGCAGGGGCTCATTGTGAGAAGACTTTGTTGGTGAGGCTGGAGCTACCTTGCTCTGGCTCATTTCCAATTTTGAATCTCCCAAGCTGAAACAAGATGATAATTATGATGATGATGAAATTCGATAGCATATGATATAATTTCATGTAGGCGCATATCCTAACACCCCATCATATTGAATGACTTCACTTGGGAGAAATATTTTCAAATGACTTCACCATATAATATATTATTATAAATCGAAAAATACCTGCAACTCTGACTCTCATGCAAGTTTTCTGGCTCAACCCAAGTCAATTCCGGTGATCTCGTGTTTGATGATTCTCCAGGAGTCCCCATCTCTTGTTCCATGTGATCATCTCTTGGTTGATTGGATCCTTCCTTGGGGCCCTCTAAATTTATATCGCATCCTTCACTAACACGGGCCTCGTAATTTCTAGGTTTACTATTGTAATCCCGGAGTATAGAGATGACTTTCTCCAATGTTCCAAGAGCTTCTCGAACAACAGGACTAATGTCTCCCCTAGTGCTCATCTCAGATCCATAATGGTTTGCAGTTTCATCCTTTGCTCCAGGTGCTTTTTCCACCTCACTTGCAGCAACTTCATCATAAATTCGAACCTCTTCTATTTCATTGGATAATTTGTCATGTGATTTCTGGACATTTTGATCCAAGGATTCATTTGCAATTGTGTCATTGTCCTTTAATACCTCAATTTCATTCTGCACTTCCGCGTCTCCATGTTGGGATTCACCGGGACCATTCTTTTCAGCTACTTGTACACTTTGCTCTTCACCTAGAATAGATTTGCTTCTCAGTGGAGATAAAGAAACTGCAGTAGGCAAGACCGGACAATAAAGAGCCTGCCGGATACGAGTGTAATGTGGATCCTTCAAAGTCTCAACAAAATCTTCGTCGCCCTTAGAAACAGATGCAACTTCCTGCAGTTGTTCCAAGTCTCAGATACAAAGAAATAATGAAAAAGAAAAGGAACATACAAACAAGTTCCAACCACAGTATATATATCTATTATATTCAACTGGAATATAAGCAGCAAGTTCTCAGCTGGCTAAATTCAATTTTTCATCAATCACCAATTTGGACTTTCCAAAAACCACTACCTTTCATGGTTTTCAAAAGAGCAATAAAGCTAATTTCATGAACGCACTAGTTGCACGATAGAAACTAACCTTTTTATATAGCCTAAAACCACTGCTAACAAGCTGCCTCGCAACAAAATTGATAAAAGCTGGAGGGACAAAGTCCAATTTGATATCCATGTTTGCAATGGTCCTGCCAATAATGTCATGAAACACAGAAACACTCGAATGAATGATGGAGTGGAAGAATATGAAGATGATAATAAGGCTTGGAAGATAAAAATCATACCTGAAGTAGCTCCTATCAGGGCCCACCATTTGTACAGCAAATCCTCCCACCACATCTATTCTCACCACATCCTCAGCATCAGGTATCCCATCTCGAGTGAATCCATGAGTACTTCTGTCTACATTCTCTACATCAGAGATCTAGAAATAGGCAGATGTTTTGTTTTTTCATTACACATTTCCATGGGGATGGAGACCACACTTCCATCTAACAGAGGATAAAAATTGATAAATTACCGTGTTCAGAAGCACCACAACTAGACCATCTGGGAAGTACTCATATGTAAAATAATGTACTAGAGCCTCTCTGCTTGAAAGTGGCCATGGAACCTTCATCCTTTCTTCCAAATAATTAGGCATAATTCAGCATCTTCAGAATCATATGTAGCACCAACAGCACAAGGTACAAGTGCAGCAGTAATGCATACCTCACCAGCGATATCTGTTCTCCGGCTCTAATTTTTTTCACACAGTGGGATGAGAGGACTTTGAAAGATGGAATTGCAGTTTGAGGCCACCTGAAATGAAAATTTTAAGGCCATTATTATATTCTGTAGCAAAAGGTGAAAGTGAAACCACTTTTGAAGTTGAATTGCATTTTCATCCCTTCGGCAGTGACGACCAATTTAAGCTGATTAAAAAACTTTGGCATATTTAAATTCATATTCCCTTTTGCCATCCCATTGTCACCACATTAATAAGACTGTCTCAGCTAACAACTATTGCTTAACAGAATCAATCCGACGCCGAAATGGAAAGAAATTCAATGACTCGTAATTGATGTTATGCTTCAAAGAGTGTAGTCAATAAATAGGACTCACCATTTTTTATAGAGATCTGACTCGGAAGAAATGCATAGACCTGTTAGAGCCAAGATTATAAGAAAAGGTATGCCGGCAGTTGACACTCATGCATCTGTCTCACTGACAGAGCATTCCAGTGAAAGATTATTAAGGAAATTTGTTTAACTTACAAACGTCAACAGGTCCATCCACATAGCCTTCAGCAAGTAGTGTATGAAATGGAGTTCCCTCTGGTCCTTCCCGATACATAACTCGAAATTCTTCTGTGTCCTGTTTTATCTGTAATCAATCAAAGATTGATGATATTAACTGTAAAGCCTACAGTTGAAACTTATGATTCATGGAAAAAGTCCCTCTTGTGGCCAGAGTAAACTGAGAAAAGCAATTTATGTACGTATAAGGATTCAATGACTCCATAGAACTCTTGGAGACCTGTTGAGACCCTAAATCTTAAACTGATTCCGGAAGTCACAGTATGTCAAATCCATCTAGACTGGTATCTGAGTTTCAATAGGCATAACTTAAGCACATAATTGACGACAGTAACAGCGGTCATACTTTCCAGCCACTTCCATGTTCATCAATTGATTTTGACTTGTCAACTTCATGTGCAGAGGCACTCCTCAACATACCAAGGAAATTCCACACTTCTTCAGTTCTTCTTTCAATCACATACTCAGTGTAATCTGCAATGCACAGAGAACAAACCCAACGACATAAACTCAGAGTACTCCTGGTTTAGTGAAAGAAATGTAGAACATTTTAATTGAGTAGAAAACAACCAACCTTTGCATGACCTTAACATTTGATTCTTCACAAGGGTATGAACCAATTCGTCATTTGTCAATTGAGGGGACAGCAGTGTTCTGTCCAACTTGCTTCTATACTCCAATATGCTACCTTTACCCACCATTTTTGAAAACTCAGGCAGGAAAGGTAAGATTCAAACCTAAATCCAACTCCAAAATACAGGATCTTCACCACAATTTCTGCTGCACCAAATATGTATATATATATATATATATAGATTAATAATAATAAATTAAATTTAAATTAAAAAATAAATGAAACACAGAGGGAGACAAAAAGAGAGTAAGTTGAAACATACAAAGTGGCACAACAACAACAACCCAAACAATAATCTACACTTACACGTGCTTTATGCTATATATGGGCAGTCCAAGAATCGCATCCACCATTGAAACAAAATTCCAGACTTCGCACCCACGTAAAAGGAAAATTGTGTTCGTTTGAACGGCACCCCCACGACTCAGAGGTATCTTATGACTGTGCAGGACAGGTGAGAACAGTATTAATTATTAATATTTCAATCACAGATGATATAATCAAGGATTAGAAAATTTCGCGCACCGCTGAAATCGGATACAAATCAAATCAGAACAAACTAATTCTCAGTTTGGAAGAGCAGTTGAACCACCAGCCTCTAGTAGAAAATAAACAAACAGCAAACTTAAGTTTAGCTGACGATCACAGCTAACGAAACGAAACTCCAACTCTTCAAACAAAACTAAAAACAAAATCTTTTAGGCTAAATCATCGGCAAGAGCAAAATCAGAAATACATACACAAACCAACTCCTAATTTTTTTCAAGGGAGAAGGTAAATCTTTCTTCATGTAAGAAAGAGGTGCGAAAAACACACAGGCGCATACACATACAACTGCATAAAATATAAACACACACAGGCTTCCATATGATAGGAAGGAAGGAAACTAACAATTGTGAAACTCACTCAAAGCAAAGCAGTAAAATTAAAGAGCAAAAACACTTGGCGGTGTTGGGAATTGGAAAAGAATCAAAATCGCGGATCTCAATCAGAAGGTATTTGGGAAGAGGAGACAGCTGCAGGTGACGCGAGATCACCTAGGCGGAGAGGAGAGGAGAGGAGGATGATGATGCTGAAGCTCTACGCCGACTGAGTTTCCTTGAAGACGACGAAGTGGTAGACACGGAGCAGAATAAACCGATGCATTGCTGCCTCATATTGGTGAAAACTAACATAATAATATCAGTCTAAAATTAAATACTAATACTTTTTTCCTATATTATAATTCCACAACTGTATCTAGATTTCCTTGCTTATTTAATACTCCTATATCTTTATTTTAATAAACAAATTTAAATTGATAAAATAATAATAATATATATATATATATATATATTAGGACGGCTTGCGTGTTTTTTCTACTAATTTTTTTATTATTTATGTGAACCCACCATAAAATATACTTTCTAGAAATTAGTTTTTTTTTTTTATTTTTATTACTAGGTTAATTAATATTTATAATATATTGTTGTTTTAATTATTTTTATTTAGTAAAATATTAAAATTCAAATTCAAATAATTTTTTTTAGTATTTGTGTTGGCTTTAGCTGTTTGAGTAGTCAAAAAGCTAATTTAGGGCTTTGGTAAATTAGTTTTTTTAAATAACTTTTTTGACCCAAAAAGTTAATTTCTAAAAAACAAACTTATCCAGCGTTTTGAAATAGTTTTTTGTGTAAAAAAATTTTTATTCCTTATATGCCCTTAAAAATTTATCATTTATTTTATACAAATAAATATATTTTGATTATTTATTAATTATATTAGAATATTTTATTATATTATAGTTTTACTTTTATAAATTTAAAATAATTAATTTTTATATAAAAATTATTTTAATTGTAAAATATATAAATTTATTAAAATCAACATAGAATAGAAAATATAAATATTAATAATTTAATTTTATATTAAAATTACATTATATAAATTTTATACTAAAAATAAATTAAATAAATTAAATTTATTGAAAATTATAAATATAATGAACTAATCGATAATTAACATACTAAATATATACACCAAAAAATTTATTATTTTATATTTGACAACATTTTCAATAGAAAAAACTATTTATATATTTTAATAAAAATATATTATTTTTTAAATCTAACTGTAATAAAAATAAATACTTTTATAACACTTTTACAATTTTCAATAATTAATAACAAAAAAATTTAAACATTCTAAACTCAAAAGAACATAATTAAATATATTAGAAACAAAAATAAAATAGAAATGTCCTCGATTGTCATTTTACGTATAAACAGCTAATATCAGACAGTTGTTCTACCAAATATTTTAATACAAATAGCTAATCGAATCAGCTAGTCAAATCAGCTAATTGAATGAGCTAACAGCTATCAACTAATTGAATCAGCTAACACAGCTAATTACCAAACGCGTCCTTTATATTTTGAAGTTAATTTTTATAAAAATTTATGGTATTAATTGAAAAATAGTAATGATGTGGAATGAAAATGATTTTATTAATCTAAATATTATTAAATAATAAAAATATGACGTGATTAAAATTTTTTAATTTAAATAAAATTTTACGTAAAGTTCTTTCAAAAATAAATACGAAAAATAAAATTTAAAACTTTAGTTATTCATAGTGATAAATACGATAGATTAGTTTATAAATTTATTCACTTTCACAAAATATTAATTGCAGTTTTTAATAATATTCTATTCATCCATCAAATTTAATCTTTTTTTTTTTTTTTTTTTTAAATATACAAAAGAATGATGTTTAATTTATCAGAACTAGTGGATAATACATTACTTTTTTTTACAAAGTAATACAATTAAATATTTTAATAGTATTCATCTCAAACAAATAATAATAATAAAAAATTTAAACACTAAAATTATGCAACTTTTGTTTTTCTTATTTTTGAAAGAAATAAATACAAATTCTAATCTACAATGTATTATTAAATCAAACACCCTAATAAAAAATTTGATAAGATTAATATTATTTAAAAAATATAATATATACACATCAACACAAACTGTATACAAGCTTATCAAAATTTAACAATTTAAAAAAAAAATTATATTACAACACACTTTTAATAGTTAATATTGAAAAAATATCTCAATTTGAAATACAAACAAATATTATCTCTATCTGGCGTTAATGTATGCATCTTTTTGTTTTCATCTGTTAAGGTATATATTTTTCTCGTAACTATGACCCACATTTTTTTTTTCAAAAACCCCTATTTTGCTATTATTATTTTTACACAAAAAATAAAGATAAAAAATTATTTTTGTACTTTCATACGTCCTACTTAATTTGTCTCATCTTTTTATTTTTGTTCGTCTCACATAAATTTGTCATTTTCTTTTTCAAAAATATAAGTATACACTTTACTCAAATTTTAAAATTTATAATTTTTTTATTTTAATTAAATTATTTAGTCATCTTAATCTATAATTATTTTTATTAAATCATAAATTATTTTCACTAATACACTTTTAGTTATTTACTAGTTATACAATATCTAAAACTTCCGTGCTAAGCTAAATAGGACATTTAGTTGGGATAGAGGGAGTATTATTTTTAATTACTTACTACAATTAAAATACTAGTATTATTATATTATTTTTTAATTTTTGCACAAAAGATAAACATACACTATAATGCAGAATAAATAGAGCATATTTTTATTTTTTCTATTATATTAAAAATTAATTTAATATTTTAAAATATCAAATCAATATCTATTTATATTATATCAAAATATAAAATTTAATTAATCAAAACTTCGAACTCTTAAATGCATGACCAAATAAAGTTAATAGAAAAAAAAACTAGTAAGTTAATAGAATAAAATTAAGTTTGTAATTTAAATTATTATTTATTAATTATTAATTTATTAGAAAATAGGACTAATTTGGCGGGAAAACTAGAAAAGAAAATATGTACCAATTTCGCCGGAAGGAGGAAGTATATTATTTTATATTATATAGAAATAGTAATCATTATTAATTTTAACATTATCATGTAAGTGTATATATATATATTTGTATAAATTCCTCCTTTATTAAATGAAAAGAATTATGTACCCTACTATTTTAATACTCTTTCAGTCTTATCTAATTTGTTCACTCTTTTTATTTTCATCTGTCTCATATAATTTGCTCTTTGTTGATGCAATTTTTCAACAATTAAAAGTAAATTTCGAAAAAGAAATCATCTTCGAATTTGATAAAATAAATGTCTGAGATTAAGAATCTCTAGACATCGTACGATACATAAGTAAACTAGAAAAATAAATACTACAGAATGAAAAGGTAAATGGTGTTCCCCAAAAGAAATTCACTGACTTTGATGTCGATTGAAGATGATTGAAGATGCCCTGCCAATTGTTGACCGAAATCCTTAAATACTCCTCAAAGAAAATGCTTGAAACTGTCGCATAAACGGTTACAGCAACTACTCTCAACCGCCTACCAGTTCCTCCTCTGTTGACACGTATTTTGACCGACCACTAACTACTCGTACCAATTACAGCACTCAACAAGCTCGGCCGACCACCTTTGAATACCTTACCTCTTTAAACGGACGGCTAGTCCCAAACGACTACTCAACTGTCCACCCAAGCGACCACCATATTGGCCGTCTAATCCTTCTTCCCCCGACCTCATTTGACCCGACCTCCGCATCGGCCGTCTTATCTTGTCCGACCTTCGTGCCCGACCTCATTTTGTCTGACCTCCGTGCCCGACCTTATCTTGTCCGACCTCTGTGTCCGACCTTATCTTGTCCGACCACAGGCCAACCAACCAGCTCAACCGACCTCCCGACCTCATTTGGTCTAACCTGCCTATCAACCGACCGGCTCAACCGACCTTCCAACCTCATTTCGTCCGACCACTAGCCGACCGACTTGCTCAACCAACCGTCTCTGGTCTCATTTGGTCCGACCTCCCTATCAACCGACCGGCTCAACCGACCTTCCGATCTCATTTGGTCCGACCACAGGCCAACCGACTTGCTCAACCAACCGTCTTTGGTCAGCTTATCTCCTTAGAAGAATGGCTGGTCCAACCGACTACCCTGAAAAACCCCTCAATCAATCTGGCGAGCCCAACGACGGGCCTATATCCCCTACAATCTTGGGCCTTTTACCCTAGTTATAAAATTCGTATGTAACAACTTACCCACCGCCATCGGACTTTCAAACGCCACTCCTTAATCGCCGCATGACAAGACGTTTGGAAGTTCGCATTCTTAAAAACCTCTCCTTCAACCTCGCTTACTTCACGCATCCACTACCGCATCATTTCTTCCACAAAACCTTTCGTCTTCTATACTGTTTTTTCCTCTTTTTCTCTGCAACTCAAAGTCATGGCGAACCAATACGTACCTGCACTCCCTTTTGACGGAACCACCCCAGAAACATCATTCGCAGCTACACAAGTGCTAACTCTTACCATCTGCCCATACTGTACGACTCCTGAAGACTCCAACCGGATGAGGGAGGTATTGGAAGCAGGAAACCCCCTCGCCGTCAATAATCCTAACTACAATGCTATGTGTCTCCAAGACAGTATCAAAACATATCTGACGGACCCCAAAGAGCCCTACCGCACCTAGTATAACAGGGTGGCGGAGCGTTTTCAAGACCAATGAAAACACCAACAAATCGACCAGGCAATATTCCTATCGACTCTCCCATTTCACTTGCACGAAAAAGTGTTTATGACGATGTCGACGTTCTGGCATTCAGAAATGGGTATCTTCTTCCTGCCGCGGGCCCCATTGGCCCAACTTTCATGGATGTGGCCATGATTGCCCATCTTCCCATTGTGGGTGAGGATCCTATGATGGGAGCCCTATATGAACAGGAGCCAGATGCGGACCATTTGGGCTGGTCTTTAGCTGGCGTTAAAGAATGGGGTTTGACCAAATTTGCAACCGACCAGCAAGGGGCAGCCGGGACCGCTGTAATCAACCGCGAATATGTCGTCTTCCTCTTCTTCTGGCTCTGTAGGTATGTCGTAGTCTCCCTTCCAAAAGTGTCCTTTCTTCCCATCTCGACCTGGCTATCCATATAGCTTCAGGTTGTTTCTTTTCTCTTAGCACTCTCTTCCTTGCCAATCTTTTTGAAGGTCTGTCTAGGGTTAGTACCCGTCTTACGGATAGAGATAGAAAAATTAGATACCACCGCGTCGGGCCCT